AGAAGATACGTATTTGAGCATTCGTGTATCATTCCTCAAGCATATCCTAGTCAAGTGTTCTCACCAGTGAGTTTGAGCACTGACTGGTTATAATTTGATATGATGAGCCTTGCTGCTCTTTTACAAAGCTTTTCTATTACAACTCTGCTATTTCATGTGGGTCATACATGTCAGTAGCATGCCTTAGGATAGAATGCATTAGAGTTAGGTACAATGCTGCCTTGGCTTCAAGTGAGGTTCTGTTTGATTCAAGTCTTTGTAGGCTCACCATTTTGCTTTTCAGATTATTTTGTTACTATTTTTTCCACAATCAAAGTCCCTGTTGATTGTTAGACTTAGGTATTTTATGGAGTCTACAGAATTAATAGGAGAGTTGTCTTTAATGTGGGCTCCATGGATTGGATTTCTGTCTTTGAATATTCTAAGACTGCTGCATTTACTCAGTTTAAACTTGAGGTGCCATTTTGTGGACCACTGCTACAGTAGATTTAGGTCCTAATGAGTCTGTCATGATCATTATGGCTATGAATTTCCTGATTTATGATGTGGTCATCTGCTGACAGCCAGATCTGGGAGCTAATTCCAACTGAGATACCATTGATGAAAAAAGAAGTCCAAGGACTGATTCTTGTGAGACACTTGACTTTACTTTCTTTCAGTCAGAGGTAGCTCCATTCACTGCTACTCTCAATTTTCATTCTAACAAGAAATCTCTCATCCATGCCATGATTGAGCTTACACCATTTGTTCTCAGCTTAGATATTAGTCTGATGGGGAACTGAATGAAATATCTTGGCAAAGCCAAGGGCTGGGATGCCTGTTTGGTGGCCCATGTCTAGAAGGTAACTGCCTGGCATCAAAGGAAATGTTGAACAAGACAGTCATGAAGGGGGTTATGGACTTGGGGTTGCTGCTTGATAATGTGGTATAACACAATCAGGACCAGGAGTGTTTTTTGATGCTGAGGCCCTTTGAAAAATTTTTCTCTCATTGGAAAACAAGGGGTCACTTCATTAAATGACTAGTTGTGAGAGCAAGTGGTATAGCCTCATGCTGGTCATTGAGTTTGAAGACACTTGCAAACTGGGTGTTTAGTGCCTGCAGCTTCTCTCCATTTGAGCAGGCACACATGCCATAGGTAGTTGGTTTAGCTTTAGTAACAGTTCAAAGAGATGCAATTTGTCTCCAAAAGAGTTTTGAGTTCTCTCTGGTATGCGTATTGCAGCAAAATGAAGTTTATAAATCATAATAAGATGGCTGATAAGATCTTTACTTGCACCTGTCATTAAGGCTGTGGTAGCAGTCTCATTGACAAATTGATTCTGGCTATGATTTGCTACCTTGTGCCTCCCATTTATTTTCTTATTCATGGTGCAACCCAAAGTAAGTAGATCTGTCTCCTGGCAAAAAAATTTACTAAGACACAGAACAATAGACTGGATACCTTGGCATTCGGGTGTATGACACAAGTCCAGACTAATGGAGAACAAATGTTCTACACTGTCTAAAGTCAAACCCTACTCATGAAAATCATGTTTGAAATGGTTTAACATCACTCTGAGTTTCAATAACAATGTGATTGTATGGCAGAAGGTATGTGAGGCTTGTTCATGGTCTGAAAAATAAATTAGTTAGCATTGTGCTGGCATGATGGAAAGTCATTGCATTATAGTGAGGTATGGTAGTTGGGTGCCATTTGCCAGGAAAGTCCAGCCAAACTAGTCTAATACTTCTGGGCTTGTCTTTGGTATCTACTAGAGATCAACCAATATTGGATTTTACTGATTTCTATTTTGGCTAATATATGTAGCTGATAGCTGATAAGATATTGGCTGATATTTCAGAAAAAAAAAAAACATATTGAAGATTCAACTGGACAGCTTGATTTTATTTCATATTCTCCTTGATGAACTCACTACAAAGTTATGCGGCAAATCATAGGCCAAACCTAAGCCTTAGTGCCAAGGTCTGCCTCCATCTGCCAGACCAGGAACAGGCAGAGCAAAAGGCCTGCAATTCCTCACCTCTCAAATGATGCCATATTGGCTATATCACACGTCTCAGGGTTTCCATATGAGCCCAGAAAAGATAGTCCCAGTCATATTTTCTTTCACTGAAGATTGAACAGAACTCTACTTCTGATATTGGCAAAAATCTTAAGGTTTGAATGAACCAATGTGAATAGTTGCTGATATGCCCATATTGGCTGATTTATATTGGCAACTGATGTATCGGTTCATCTCTAGTATTTACTCAAACACATATGACAAGACTGGACATGCTGATAACCCTCTGCTTGTCAAGGAGTACCTGACACTATTTTGACAGGACATTGGCCACATACTGTGTCTTCATGGGGAGACCTTCATATTTGGCTGGGTAGTATATGTCTTACTATGTTCTAGACTCTCAGGATAGACTGATGGTGTAGCATATCATAAACTTGTATAAGATACTTGATTAAAATGTATTTTCTCTTATTCACTTGCACTGTCTGTTTTTCCTGCTTAGGTTATGGGAAATATTAGTAAAATGAAATAGTGGTGGCATCAAGGATGATAGAGATTACTTGCAACGATCGTCTTGGTAAGAAAGTCCGTGTGAAATGCAATTCAGATGACACTATTGGTGACCTGAAGAAGCTTATTGCTGCTCAAACTGGAACACGCTGGGACAAGATTGTCCTGAAGAAGTGGTACACGATCTTCAAAGATCACATCACACTTGGAGATTGTATCCTTTCCTGTGTAGGGAATCCAATGAAACTGCATTTTACTTAAATGTCTGAGAAGCCAGCCATTTTTGGATTAGGGCTGAGAGATAAAAAAATGTGTGTTGTTGCATAAAGTCTCCAGAAGATTAATTATCTATGAAGAGGTTTGGGTAAATTGGGGTCCAAAATGCTTACTTTTAAGGAATTTTGTGTCTCCTGACTTTGAAGTACTGACTTCAGGAATTTTTCCAACAGCCATTATTTTTCATCTATTAGGCCTAGGGCTAAAACAAAGCTTGACATGATCAGCTATTCTGGAATTAGCACATGATATCTCAATCATGATACTTTTTCATGAACAAACTGCCAGCTGAAAAAGAGACATTTCAGTTGTTATGTTTTATAGTAAGGAATCTTTCAAAGGCCCTTTGTGTCTTCTAGCACACAAGGAAGTTTTGGGAACGAACAAATAGGGAGATAAGGAAGTGTTTGAACTGGAGACTATACTACTTTGTATGCTGATGATATCAGGAGAAAGTCCTGTTACCTTCATTAGCAGGGATAGCTCCTCCTAGCTCCAATGCTTGGCCCAGCATGAAAATGAGAAACCAATATAGATGACTTAATTATGCTTGCAAGTTTAAGGTATTGAAAATTGTGAGCTATGTCAAAGCAAAAAATCCTCAAGCAAGTGATAATCCTGAAAATATAGAACTTACACTCTTCTGCAATAAGGTTTTCCCATGAATACAAAGGACTGCTCATAATATAAAGCATATCATGTTTTGGATAATGGATGGTAACTGATCAATCATGTTGTGTGACTTATTGAACAGAGTATGTGGGTGTTTGACATTCCTGATATGATATGCATCATGCAATGCAGAAGTCAGGGAGCAACATTTGATGTTATTGGCTATTTTGACAGATGCTGAATTCTCACTGGCTCCTGGAATAAGTCACACAAATTCCATATAAAATTGCCATTGTGTGAAACTTTAAAGTATGGAGTAGCAAGCAAAGTATCATCACAGGTGTCACAAAATTAAATAATTTTCCCACATTGCTTGTTCTTCCAACTGAGAACATGAAGACTCTTAGGCTTCACTTTCTCTTTAATGAGTATGAGCAGTTCAGGAAAATGTATCCCATTCATCCTGGATGGTTTAAACTTTAATTTTTTCATCTCTGTGCATTGGTGCATTCAATCTAATTGACTTGGCAGCCTTAGTAACTTGGAATGATAAGGGGGAAAAGGAAAGGATCCAGTAGACTAACTGGAAATCTTGATTAGTGTTTTAGGAGGAGCATATGACACAGAAGACCCATGTGGGAAAAAAAAAGCAAGAAATCATGATCTTCTGGTCTAACTTGAGTCTGTCATTAGAAAGAATTGGGATTTTCTGGGAATGATTTGAATTTGGTCAAAATCTTGTAAGATATTTTTCATCTGATTATTGAGCTTGAGTGATATATGACATTTCTTATCTTTAAAATCACAGCAGTAAGTGGAAAAACTTAATTATTTTTATTTTGCTGAACATATGTAGGAGAAATGGAATTAGATGAGAATTTAGTCGCATCCACTTTTAATTGAGTTTCTGGATTGCATTAAAAGACCTGAATCTTGATTCATATGGTTGGATTTACATTCGATTCAAGCCATAAAAGCTTTTGACTGATTCCAAGAGTCAACATTAAGATTCATGCCATGCATGATTTGGGATTCAGGTTAGGGATTCAATTCAGGGGTGCCCTTCACTGGTTTCAAAGTGTATTGATTACTTATATTGGTTTTCTGCCATGTTTTATCTGCTGAATGATCTTAAGAAGCTTCTGGAAATATAAGCTTGTATATTATTCACAACAATATTTCCTTCATTTCAAAAGATGACAGACGAAATCCATGATGGAATGAATCTGGAGCTGTATTACCAATGAATCTGCCTGACTTCTGATTTCACACTTGAATGATGTGCCATCCATTACAAGTGTCCAGCTGGAAGTGTCCCACTGGAGTTGAAAATTGGCTATTCGTTTTGGAATCATTGCACAGTCCTTGGAAGGATTATAAAATTTATGATTTGTGAAAATGGATTGTCTTTTAATGCTATCCAGGTGTCTTCAATGAAATTAGAAGCTCATATTGTTAACCATTTTAAGTAACATATCCAAAGGTTTCTGTGAAAAAGCCAGAATACCTGGAATTGTTTTCTATCTTTTGGATGCACCATTTGCTGTGATTTTCTGTATTTTCTATAACATACAGTATCATGTGAATTTGTGTTCTGCAGGGAAATTATTAGCTCATGAGTGTGACTTCCCATGGGTTATATTTATTCCTTCACTGTAGAGGAAATTGATGGAGTCAGAGAATTGTTTCAAGCAGGTTAGTAGATGTGGATATTTTCTTTTGTTCACTACATTTTTGGTATGTTTGTTCCAGTATTAATGGCTGATAATAGGACTCATTTTCACATTCTGCAATGTATTAGATGATTTTCAACAGATTGCAATGAGTTAGGCATATATGCTTCCATGTATTTCCTTTCATAAAAGTTCATTTCTTTCTCTTTTTGCTTTCTGTCTCTATGTAAGGAATCTTTGAGTTGCCTTTGCTCTTTTGCATATGAATTCCTCAGACATAATGAATGAATGACATACAATAAGACTCCCTTGGGATGATAGGCCATATGGAAAAAGAAGTGTCAACTCTTTTCACTGGAAAATAAATTTCAGCTCTCATAGCAAAGGAAGATTCACCTCCTATTGTACTTGCACTCTCATTACTTGTTTCTTTTGCAGTCCTCATGTCACCCTCTACAAGCATCATTCTCTGACTTTAAATGCACTCTGTATTGAAAAATACTACCATGATAATGGGTGATATGGATGATGGGGAACGGAAAGTGGTGAATGAGTTCTGTCATTTATTAGAAAAATCCAAGCAGCTCTTCAATGGACTCAGGTGAGGATCTTTGCTAAATTTGTTTATTTGTGCATTGAATTCAATTATCTAACATAATCTTGATTTTCTTGGTCACTGTCAGGACTGCAGATCATCCATATGAATGAATGTTACTGTAATAAATTTGATCTAAGAATAATATTGACTAGTGATGTCTCACTAATATTGACTAACAAATAGTAATGTCTTCAATGGTCAATGATATAAGTAAACTGATTTATGCATTTGAAACATGCACCTTTGGTGCTCGTTCCTTCTAAAGCAGTGAAATTCCATGACTTTTAGGCATTTTTCATTATTATGTCAAGCTATTTTCAGTTATGTGATGTTGCTGCCAACTTGAGATTGGCAACATTGAACAAGCCATAGAATATTTATTTCATACAGTACCTTTTATAACAGTTTATTTTCTTCATAATACACACACCTTTTATAAGAACAGTTTTTTCAATTCCAGTGTTAAGTGATAGGATCCCCTCCCAAAGAAAAGGGGTGCAAGAGTGTTATACCCAATTGTAGGTTTTTTCTTGAAATCAACATTCCTAGAACAATGCTTCATATGTTTTTATTTGCCCATTTCACTTGGGTGAAAATTTTTTGGAATACATGGTGTTTCAGATAGATGCATCCTGATGCATTTCCTGAAAAACTATTAGGATGAGAAGGAAAACAATATATATTTAGAATTCTTATTCAATTTCTGTTCTGATGAAGAATTTTCTCCCTTCCAATACCGCATCACAGTGAAAAAAAGAGATTCATTGATCACACTCGAGCAGCAACTCAATTTCTTGTCTGAATGGGACAAGGAGAATTTCATTTATCTTGCCTCATTAGATGAACTTTTCAGTTGGACTGTGCCCCATCCAAACTATCAGAATGGCTGAGTTTGAGTAGAAGTTGCAAAGTCACAGTCTTTCTTCCAAGTTTAGGACTGAAGCCATGGGCTTTTTGATGACATTAAAATGTTTGAATTCCTGGTTCTGAAGTTCCCAATGAACAGGAGCATGATTGCACTTCTTTCCCCTTTCTCTTTTCGGCAGAGACACCTAAGAATGGATACTTTTCTTCTTTTCAGCTGATGCCACAATTATGCCTTTGGACTATTGAGAAAGACTGATGCCCCCCTTTCCTATTTCACTTTCACATCCATAGGGGTTCCAAATCCAATTTGTCTTAACAAAAATTTCTGGACTGTTGAGCTTTTCTGCTATCCAAGATTGTGAAATTAAATTTGCACCTGCACATGAGCAAGTTATTGCTCATATGAAATCAATAAACCTCATTTTTTCTATGTGATAAGGAAGGGGAATTGCTTTTATCTGAGACACCCTATACACAGACAGACAAGAAAGTGTACCTCAATGGATACACCTTAAAATTAGAATTTTCCTGGACTTAATGCTGTACAGCTACATGGATACCATATTTTTGCATTCTACATTTGAAATGAAAATGGAAATGGTTTCCTTCCCCCCCTCCCCCTCCTAAAGAAGTGTCCTTGGGGGATGTACTTCAAAAGTATGATTTTTCCTGAACTCAGCAACCCAATTGCTTCCTGTGCATAGGAAGTTTCAATTTTCTATCATACCTAGAATATGTTCAGAATTAGTGTCAATCATTCAGCTATTCTGTCACAATAGTTTGCATACATTTGTTGCCAAAAAGTTGTGTGATCTATATGAAATTTGGTACACAAGCTTATACTACTGTACCATGAAATTGATTAGAGTTTCAAAGGTGTGGGATGAATATTCATGAAGAAAACTTGCAAAATACTCCAAATTCAATAACAGCTATAGGGTCATAATAATAATCCAAAATGCTCACCTAGAAGGATTTTATAGATGAAACATGGTTTGAGAACTCCTAAATATGTGTAGAAAATTTGAGCAAAGTTTCAAGGTCATGGAATGAGGCAATATGAAGAAAACTTGTCAAATGCCTTTAAAATGGAAGAAGAGGGTGGTGTAATGGAAAGGACCTGGTTCCTTTTCTCTTCCACTCAAGCCCTTCACTGTAGAGCTGTTGTTGAGAGTCTAACTGTGAGAGGCAGTGCCGAGATGAAATCTCTGAAGGCAATTTCAACAAGTTTTTGGATTATTTTATTGCTTGAGGCATATTGGGATGCAAGCTTAGCTTCCATCAATTTGATGCATGCATCACCCTCCCATATAACTTGATATCTTGCTTCTAATTTGTGGAAATCCTAAGTCTTAGTTTTTTTAATTCTTCACTGTAGATATTGCTATTTCATTGCAGAGATCTCCCACAGTATGGACACAAGCAGTGGCAAGCTTATTTCGGAAGAACATTTGATGTGTATACCAAACTTTGGAAGTTTCAGCAGCAGCATAGGTGAGACTTTTAAGTTTCATAAGTGATTATTTGAAGCAACATTTATTAAGTATTTTAAAACTAGAAAACCCTTAAAGTCTTTTCTACTACTTTTGAAAATATCTTTGATTTATACTTGCACACCTTAAGCCCACTTTCAAGCTGAGTCAAAAGTTTCCATCTGCCGAGATCTCATAGATCTCACAGAAAATAAATATGTCCTCTCATATTTGACATGCAAGAGAGCAAGATCAGAAGAGTGTCGAGACATTGCAGTTGCTCTAAATCAGAGTGGAAATGATTGTTACTCTCTTACATCTATTGTGAAGAACATTTTCTTGCAGAGACCATCCAAATAAAGTTTCCTGTTTTTCATTGATCATGAGCATGATTCTGTTCTTGTTTTGCTTATTGAAAGATTGAGTTAGAATGAATTTTGTGAGCTGGAGCCATATTTTTATTTTACTGAGTGGCCCCAAAGAAAGTTGATCCTTTTTCATTTGATTCCTACACCCAAACTAATGAGAGTGTGCTCATGTGACTTGGAGAATAAATGAAACTCCTTGAGCAAATGCAATTATTTCAGGGAAATACAAAAAATTTTTGTAAGGTGAGAGGTAAAATAATAAAAATTTCATATACGTTAATACCTATGATGTGAGCATCCTTTGAGATCAACTTGGGATGATGGAAAGGTTGTTGACTTGACTGTCAGCATGTGTCATAGCAAAAAGACAGCACTTTGAAAAATGCTTTAATAATAGAGTAAAATTTAATCTTTACTTTATTCATGGTTTTTGCTATGCAAGCCATACAAAATTCTTCAATGAAAAAATACAAAATTAAAAGTGGTTATTCTTGCATGCTGAATGCACCTCTATACAACTATGATTTTTGCCTTCAAACTAAAAATTGCATTAAGTCAGGAAAGAGTAGTAGTATTTACTTTCCAATATGCATGAGCACATCTTTTGTTATTTGCTGCTGCTATTGAGATAGTGTGCTATGCACTGCTGGTATTATTTCTTGTCTAGAATTTGGAAAATTAGAATTCACTCCTGTAGGCACAAAGCATAGGAGGTACTTTTTTCATCTGCAGAATGTAAAAGTTTATGTTGCCAGTTTTCAGGCTGTCTGGGAGGATGTTTTAACTTAACACTTCCAGGGTCTCCAAGTGCAAAAAGTTACTGATCCAGCAACCCTGCATGTATAAACCAGATTTATTTCTTCCCCATGATCCCATGATCTATTGGCTCTGGAAAGTTTCATGGGAAATTTGAACATCTTGGAATTGTTGGCAACCAAATTCAAGTTGAAATTGGAAGAAAAAGGGTTAGACTTAGCATTGTGGAAAGAACTCTTCCTTGTATTGGAAGCTTGGATCATAATGATTTTTCAAAAGACAAGAATATTGCTTATCATAGTATTCTGTTACATAGTTTCTTGAGTCCTAGGAGGGAGCTTCAAGGAAAAAACTTCCTGAATGTTATTACACAGGAGCCTAAGAAGTGGTATATTTTGAGCATGAAATTGTGAGCGAGTGGACCTGGTGATCATTATTTTCCTCAACCTGAATAACAGAGATTCCTGTAATGTATAAAAAAAATCTAGGAATTTACTCCTGGGTTCATCTGTTATTCCAGGAAGCAGGAATGACCATAGGATCTGTGTATTTTTAATTGGTTCTTTGCAACATTAATGCATCTATTTTGGGAACAAATGGTGTGCAGGAACAAGGTGCATAATATTAAGTCAGAAATGATTGGCATGCAGGAACAAGGTACATATTATTACATTAAAAAAAACTCTTAAGTGGTTCAACTACTGTATTTTGGGAGGATTTATTCTCATATTTTCCTCTTTCTCCTACAGGCAAATACTTGATGCCAAGTATGGATTGAAGAGGTGGCAGATAGGAGAGATAGCCTCCAAGATTGGACAGTTGTACTACCACTATTAGTAAGCTCCTTTTTGATATGCACATTTGCATGTCTATCATTAGAGTTCACCATGTAAACCAAGTCTGTATTAATACCTGGTGAAAGGCATTGTGTCCTGTAAATGAGTTCAAGCTTCCTAGAGATGGAGAATCAGATGCTTGATTGATTAACAGTAAAGTAGATGTATCATATTAGAGATAAAGACTCTTGGGGATGATGTACAGTGTAGCTGGTGACCTAACATGTAAGACATATTGCAGATGATTAAAATGCCCTTAAATTATATGAGCAAGAAATCAAGCCTTGGATTCTCTTTGATTCATGAGTCCTCATCTTTTGTCATTTACCTTTTAGACACTGTTGTTACTGTTTCCAGTGTTTGAAGAAACAATATTCTTACCTAGTAAATTGCTTGTACTTTTAGGCTAAACCCTGTGACAGAACAAATAACTTTGTGTTGGATGGAGAGTGAAGAACACTTCTTTCATTACCTATTTCAGTTTTGTTATTGATTAATACCAACTTACAAAGCAGACACAGAAACTAACCAGACTTCACACTGTCATTAGAAACTCCAGTGTTTCTCAGTAGATAGTCTTCCAGTGATTTAGGTCCTAAAAAAAATCTCCACAGGATTTACCTCCAAAGTAGGAGTTTTTCTTAATTTAGTACCCTAACAACTATTCATGTACCAAGTTTTATCTTTCTATTGCCTCTAGAACATGTTTAAAATTAGTGTCAGTCAGTCAGTCCTTCATGACCATTATATTTAGGTGCAGTATGTGGCATTTGAAAGAAATAAACTTCAAAATGGTGTACTTACATTTGAAAAATCTTGAAAAAAAAAAAACAGTTTCAGAAATTCAGGAGCTCATGTATACACCAAGCAAAAATTATGTTGCCACTACTCACCTTAACTGTGCCAGGCAAACTTCACCATTCTATGCATGTTGGCAAGGTCTGGTGGAAATTTACTGGTTCTAGTACGGTTCAATGTGTCCACTATATGCTCCCACAAGTGCTGTTAGTCTTATTCACCATCAGGTGATAGCTGCAGCAATGGATTACTGGCTTGGCTACTCTCAGCATGTTGCTATCCACTCCTTCAGGTGATGGACATCCCTGATGTTTATGTCTCTATAAACCATCTCCTGCAGGCTGCCCCAAGCAAAGTAATTGATCAGATTCCAGTCAGGGCTGTTGGGTGGTTAGAGGTCTGGCTTGATGAAATCAGCACAGTTGGCCCTTGGGATGGGGCAATCAATTGACCACCTTTTAATCGACCATTATTGACCACTAATTTTTTTAATTCATTGAATTAAGATATTTTTGTAGAGCTCATAACTGGGGTCATTTATCCCCCAGCACTAAAACCAAAGAGCCAGTTCAATTTTTTAGATTTGTTCATGCAGCCTGCCAAACACCTAGACTGTGGCACCTGTTGCATATGAAAACATTTTAGCAAATGGTCAAACTACCATGACCTGAGTAATGCAGAGTGTGTGTGCAGGCACAGCTTGCTGTTCAAAGTTGTATAGCCTCAAGGACTTTCAAAGTTAAGGTTCAAGATCTAAGTAACAGCTTTAGAACTTTAGATTCGTGCAAGGTCAATCATGGTCCTGGCAAATAGTTTGCATCAGAGCATCAAATTATTATCAAAGTCTGTGATTATGGGACAAGTACTTGGGTTATGCCTAAAAAAAATTAATTAACTATGAAACATGATTCATTACTGTTTACTTTATAGATTACATGAGTTGGAACATTAAATTTATCTTATCAATGAGATGTTGACTGGTCAACATGGTCATTTATGATCATATAGTCATAAGGCCTAACCTCTTGTTGGGCTCATAACCATTATTTTCTGCAAATGGTCTAAAATGACCATGTTGACCAGTCAAACATGAGTTGGAACATTAAATTTATCTTATCAATGAGATGTTGACCAGTCAACTTCCCATCCCTAGTCTATCACTTGTGAGTCATGACATATTTCATGGTGCAAAAACTATCAAAAAATAAAAAATAAATAAATAAAAGTTGGTCCTATTAACCAAAATTGACCATAGTTGACCATATTGACTGGTCAATTGACATGTTTTTAATTGACTGGTCAATAACCCATCCCTAGTTGGCCCTGAAGTAGTTGATGGTTGTTTGTGACTGATATGCAGCAGTGCTGTCTTGCATAAATGTATGGTTAGGCATCTGATCTTTGATCTCCAGCAACATTTTTGACAAAATATCCTCACAATAGCAAGTGGAAGCAATCTTGACTCCACATTTCATGAAGGTGAGACTGGTCTAATCCATATTCAGCACAGCAGCAACAAGCATCACAGTCACTAAAATGCACCTTTTCCACAACAATCATGCAGACTGAACCTCTTGTTTTCTCCACATGTTGGCATACATGCAATAGTTCTGTTACAGTGTCTTTCAATTGTGAATTTCATATTATCCGAAAAACAGATTTTGTGAATGGTGTCTCTGCTGTGAAATCTCCTTAGACGTTGGTTGCATCTTTCCAGTCTTTGAAGTTTCATGTTGCTTGTTAATTAGTGGGCCTCACTTCTTTTAAACACTTTTCACTTCAAATCATGCTTTGCTATGCACTGTATGGAAGTGCAAGAGATCTTAGTTTACCTAGACACTCTGCGAGCACTCAGACTGATTTCAGGAGCATTTTTGTGGCTGCAGATAAGCTGTCCCACAATCTTGATGTTATCTGCCATACACATAGAGCATGGCTGTCCTCTACCAACTCACCTTGCAGCACTTCCTGTTTCTTGCAGCTTTTTCAGTTAATGCAGGAATGTGCCACAAAAACAAAATTAGTCCCTTTTTTCCCATTATGTATTAATTAGATGTCTGTGTTAGTTCTGTTTCTATAGGATAATGAATCTATTCCCTCAGCTTGAGAACGAGTGAGACCAACTACCTCAATGAAGCCTTCTCATTCTATTCTGCCATTCGAAATCGGTCATACTACTCCAGAGCTTCAAAAGAAGAGAGGTACCTGACTTCAGTTGATAATGGAGAAGCTTTTAGAATTTTTTAAAATTATTAATTTAATCTGCATCAATCTGCTTATTTCTTTTGTATGTTTCCTTCTCAATCAAGCGGTTTGCTTTTACTGTTTTCAGTATGCTGTGTGATGCTCTAAATTGACTTTCCATTTTTGCAGATCTGACTTGATGGTGAAGAAGCTGAGGTATTATGCCAGGTTTATAGTTGTTTGCCTCTTGCTCAAGAAGGTCAAAATGGTGCGAGATCTCATCCGAGTATGTTTACTTCATGATTTTAGAATCTGCCTTGGCTTAAGAGGAAGTTTGGAATCCAAGGGATATCTTGTTGGAATAATATATCAGCAGAAGGCATGTTGTAATTGTTTTTCTATAGATTTTGAGGCATTGGTAGGCTTGAATTCAGGGGTATAATCAAATTGAAGTATCCCCTTCTCCCTACCACAGAACTTCCTTATCTCTAATTTCATTTCAGTTGCCACCTGATTGATTCACAGACTGGAAATGCATTGTTTCTGCCTATACAGTGTATTGTTCAGAATTTCTCCAAAATGATTGTAGCATTCTTCTCACTCTTTACTGGGTGCATTCAACAGTTGAATGGGGGTGGGATTCAAGTCATGTGACTAGTTGCATTAGGAGGGTGCCTACTTAATGTATCTCCTCAATGTGTATTCACAAGAGGATTCCTGAACCATCTACTTTGGTTTCTTTCTCCAGAACAGGTTAACCCTTTCACTGGCTGTGAACAATTTAAACATCCTACCATAAACTGGCAGCAAAATTTAGCCATGTTGGATGAAAAACACGTACTTGGGGTTTTAATTGTATATTTGGTTTTTACAAAAAATAATGCATGAAATTTTGCCCATACCTTGTAGATAGGCTGTATTACAGTGTTTTTCACTTGAGTCAGACATTTTCTGCCTTGTCTTTGACACTCATGCATGAGGAATGTTCCATGCATGTGTGTCTGAGTCAAGTGAAAAATTGTCTTACTTAGGTGAAAAACACTGTATTTTTCCAGTTCATTTGGTGGCCTTCAAGGAACAAGGCACTGGAAATTAGTATTATTTATTCTTGGAGTGGTAGATGCTGATTTGCAGAGTTTTGCAAAGTGCCACATTGCAACTCTTGCACATGAAAGCCAGAGAGATTTCTTTCCTTCTCAAGTACTGAGCTGAATATTGGTTTGTTTACATTGTCAAATGCTGCAGAAGTTAATGGAATAAGAAGATCTTCATCTGGTTCAGGAATTAAACATTTATTTTGGTATGTCCTCGATTCCCCAACTGGTCCACATGGACCAGTTGGGAGAGGAATCAGCTGATCAACCAATACCACCACTGTCGTGTCACCTTCATCACAGTTCTCATTGCTACTTTCTTTAAAATTTGCATAAATCACATCTTCACTTAAATCAACCATAAAGTCATCTCTGTCACTATCACTATCCAACACTAGCTCACAGGCAATATCCTGCGCTCAAACAAGCTTTCCCATTTGATGCCTTTTTTGCTTTTGGTACTGTAGCTATAGATATTGATTACGTTAAGTTTTACAGCTATTGCTGCTTTGGTGGGTTGCTTGAAGTCACCAAGTGTGTGCTACAACTGCTAGAAGTTGACCCTTTCCCAGACAGACAACAGAGGCCTAAATATCTACTCATATGTGCCAGAGCGACTTAAGATGTCCGTGCCAGTCAAAGGGTTAATACTGACACTAGAAGTAAATTTTTAGAAGGAGACCTTGAGGATGAGAGTTTGGGCTCATCCAAAGTTATCCACCATGTTGATGAATGCAAGTCAGAAACCTGGTCATCCAGGTTGGGTGTGAAATTGACCCATGGGGCTGCTCTCTGGTCAAGTGCAAAGGTACTCGACAAGTGACCCATGTAAAAACCTAAGTTCAGTACAGCTGTTGGGGTTCACTCACTATGTGATTTTTACTTCAATTTTTTGGCCAGATCTTTGGTTAGATTTAATCTTTTTCTCTTTATCAGGATCTAGGCAAGCACATAGATGACTACACTTCCACCTATGAACCTGAGGATCAGCTGGAATGGTCACTGGTTCTGGGTGAAATCAAAGCATTCTTGGAGGCAGATCATCCGATCACGATTCTGGACCATGATTCCAGCCCTGTCATCCCATCACATAGGTAAATTGTATGAGACTTTTATTATTGTGCCTCATTTAAAGCATGAATTCGAGAAATATAATTGTATTATTTTGGATTGACAAATTCATGTTTCAAAATTAGTGCATCTTTTGATTACATTGGGTCTAGCATGGAAATGGAGAAAATTAAAGTTTCATTTCAAAACACTGAATAGTAAAGCTACAATCAAGTTGATTTGCCAATATGGAGAGCTGTTCCAATGAAGTAACAGTTCAATGGTGAAACTGCTACAAATTTTAATGCGGTCATGCAAAGCTGCACTAGGCCTTAGTATGTTGCTGTCATTTTGCCTAGATGAGAATTGTGGAATGCATCAGTCTTGCAAAATATTAGTCACATAAAGGGGTGAGCCTCAGAAGCTCTGTAAGGCAGAGTTTATGTGTGTTCTCTATTGAAACATTAAAAAAAATTCCATCTCTCTCCAGCATTTCACATTTGGCTTTCAAGGATTGCATAATTGTACATATCCCAGTCTATCTGCACTTGTCCAGGAGAGGTACATGGTAAGATTTGCCAAATGACCAGCCATCCCTTGGAATAGACTCGAGGAAGTCTTATGGATCTTGGTGTTGAGAAGCAGCTGTACATAAGTCAATAGTATATTTTTATTGATGTCGGTACATCTGATTCATCTGCTCTCATCATTGTCTAATTTCAATATTGGCAACTGAAAAAATTCCTGGTCTCCCCTGCATGTGCTGTTCCAGAACATGTGTGATTGACTTTCCTGCATTTGATACTGTTGGCATGTGGAAAAATATGAGATTCATTCACAGTCCTAAGTCACTTAGTAGATGGTAGAAGTATAGTACAAGTTGTAACAAAAGTCCTTAATGAAAATAGGGTTCCCCCTGGTCAAGAAATTGCCATAGGCAAGATGACCATGAGAGCATCCTTTCATACTCTGTGGGAAACCCTGCTAAAAATGTTCCTGATGAGAATAAATAAACCTGTATGCTGAACAGACAAAAAGAAGCTGTGTGCTTCTTCATTCTTTTAGGACTTGCTTGGTTTCTTGATCATTGAAGAATTTTCTTTGTGAAGAATTTTGCCTCCATTTTTTCTGACTACATCATTATGATGGGGCAGTATCAGCTCCTAAGTTCAGAATTTTCAAATGCTAGAGAATTCATATGTTCTGTAAGATGCAGTGTATATGTCATGCATTCAACTAGTTATCTACCAATCAAAACACCTTCAAACACAGTAAGCAATGGTAAAGACTAGAACAAAATTCTTGAGTGTTGTTCAATGTGGCTTCCCATTACTTTCTCTGTAAGATGGAAATTAAATGACAAGAATGTAATATAGTTGTAATATGCATTGGTTTCAGCAGATTTTATTCAAATGTGCTCAAATCATATTTTTCTAGCTGAGATTTAGGCACTGTCATTGCATGCTTGGAATCATGTGATCCCATTTAAAGAAATGATCTCCCTATGTTAAAAAACGCTCTACCATATTCTATGGGAGAAACACAGTTTCATAAATGCAGCAAAAAAAATTGCTTTGGATACTTGATTGATATTTGACAGTTACAAGGTGTAGAAATGATTGCCAGCTTTTTTTCAGCACCCTAAGCAGGGGTGCTGAAAGCACCTCTATCAGGATACAACGCCATCTTGCAAATGTGAAAAAACCTCTTAGACTCATGAACTTCTCTGTCAAATATCAACTGTCCCTTAAAAAGTTAAAGTTGAAAAATTCATTGAATTTTGGTAATCACTTGGGGTGGAATGAACTACCTTTAAGCACCTTTAATTTGCCTCTAAATGGGGATTGCATGACTTAAGCAGGGGTGCTAAAAAAAAGCTGCCAATCAATTCTACACCTTGTAACTGTCAAATATCGATCGCATATCCAATGCAATTTTTTTCTGCTTTTATGAGACTGTGTTTCTCCCATAGAAAACGGTAGAGCATTTTTTTTAACCACCCTATTTATATGACTCTACTGTGAAGCTTTTGACATGTAATTTAATGGGAAGAATAAATGCTTCATCGCTCTGAAACTTGATGCATTTGCAGGCTCAGCCCACAGAATACACCACCTGTGGACAAGTCCCCATCTATGAATCTCATGCTTCAGGAAATCCTCATTGTAGGGAACTGCTCAGATCAGGTATGAGGTCTGTTCATCTTCACATGATGTGGTGGTGTGTCTTCACCTTCACCATTCAATGGGTCTTGATTTTTAATGTATGATAGTTAAAGGCTGTTGATTTAACTATCTTTATGGTTCTTGCTAACATTTTCTCTGCCCATTTTAATTTCACAGCTTGAGAAAGTCAGGTTTATATCAAGCCCATGAAATTCCCACTCACCAACAGTGAATGTGTTTTTCATTTTGACTAGAGAAAACAGCCTGACTAGTGAAAATCAGATATTCTGAGGAGTGAAAAGTAGACTAAGAACTGTCCCTCCCTCTCATTCCACTCACATGTGAATTTGCTTTTACTACCCCTTAGGAGGGGTAGTAAAAGCAAATGCGAGGTTGTGTAGTAGATGCAAGGTTGCATCTTCCATCATGATACCCAAAACTTGCCTTTTCCGTTGGCCTATCTGTGCAGGAGCTGTGCTTTCAGCTGTTGGGTGGGTGTGAGGAGGAAAAATATTGCCTGGCTGGTGAATGATGGGGGGAAAATGTTTCTGGATAGTTTAAGTAATGGCTACTTCTTGCCCTTCATGGCTTGAGCCATGATGCTTATGCTGAAGAGTAACCAATGATAATGGCAGTAAATTATTTACTTTAATAGGCTTACTGTTTATTTGTTGGAGATCTTGGTTAATGATCTCTTCTGTAAGAATCCTTTACCCCCCAACTACTGTTTTGGGTCCAATGGACAATACAGAAATTTAGCTGTTTGTGTAGGCTGTGCCAGGAACCTGAAAAGTCCAAGGTTCAGTGTATTTTAATGAAGACAGTGATAGTAATTAAGCAAAGTATTTTGAAGAGATTCTTTGGAAACAAAGAGTTAAACATATGACAATCTGGGTTCTGGTAGCTACAGGGTGGAAGTGATTCATACTGAAGTGACCATACAAAATCATTGGACATAGCTTCATATTATTTTCTTTTGTTTCCTCTTTCCCCCCTTTTCAGGTGAAATTCAGTGAACTAACTGTTGACATGTTCAGAATTTTACAAACACTGGAGCGGGAACCACAAGAGGATGCCATTAATATTTATGACACTTCTCCAGCTCCATTACGGCAGCCAATGGTAAGTCATGATTGTCAACTCTTTCTTTCAATGTTGACATTTTGATTTGGTTTCAATTGTAGATACATGATAAACTGTACCACTTCATTGCTGTACTATGTAACAGGAAAACGGTGACAAGCCATCAAGACGGGATAACCCTCACAAGTACCTTCTGTACAAACCTTCTTTTTCACAACTTATGGTGTTCCTGGCTTCAGGTAAGAATATGGAGATCCTTTAATACTCATTCTTTCCTATTCCAAGAGTCTAGTCTGTGGAAGGTATTTCCCACTATCTTTTTACAACTTTAGTTCATATTTTAATTCCCAATACCTAGACATTTTGGTTTGTTATGCTTTATTTCATTTCAGGTTTCAAGGAATTGCCTCCCAATGGTGCTCTGTTGCTATACATATCAGCTGATGGATGCTGTCCAACTATGAAAACACCTGAAGATCGTGAGTTATTGATCTCAAATGTCAAGTACATGGTGTAAGGGTGTATGTGAGGAGCATATTGGCTTGGTAAATCTTTCATGTCATGCATGTTTGTGTTTGCTTTGCATAAATTTGAGCAATTTAATGGTTGACTGCATAATAGGGACCATAATCCTGCCTACCTTAACATGAGTGGACTTGCCCAGGGCCGTTTCTAGGGGCGGGCGAAGCGGGCGATCGCCCGGGGCGCCAGCGGGGTAAAGGGGGAGGGAGGGGGGCGCCAACATCCCCAGAAACGGCCCTGGACTTGCCTAGAGGACAGTAACATAGCAGTCTGGGAAAGAATGCACCTGATATTTAACATGTGCATTGCTCTGCTTGGCTTGAATGATGCTGTGAACAGGCTTGAAACAATGTTTTTAGGCCCTAATGTTGATGTAAAGGTGTCAAAAAATGATGGTATTACATTCTGTGGAGCATATAAGATATGTGCTGTTTTCAGGTAAATACAGGCTGGCTTATTAACCTTTTCACTGTGGCTGACGAGTATGCTTGTTGCATTACCCAGCACCGCTACAAAAACTCCACAGTGAAAAAGTTAATTGGTGATAATGATAAAAGGTATTGGATTCACCATATTTGTGCTGTGACCTGATGCTGGAGCAACCCTCATAATTTAATCATGGATGTAATGAAATTGACCTTTCCTGCTCACTTTTGCCATCCTACCCTCAGCAATTGAAAGCTATTTTGGCAGCTCAAGGAGTCACACTAAGTTTCCACATTACATTTAAAATATGGGGAGTAAAATGCTCTAACTGATGATTCAATTCATGTTTCTACCAATTTCTATTTCTACCAATAAAATCTTCCTTATTGTTTTTCCCCCACCCCCATAGGTAGATTTCCTGTCAACCAAAGAGCCTATGTTCATTGTGTCAACTAATAGGTGGAATTCCTTGTGGAGGATGAGAGTTTTCATGGCTATAAAGCTTAGGTTTTAAAATGTTTTTCTCTTTAAGCTTCATCCTATAACAGATGGTGTAACTTATAAACTTTGAGTGTAGCCTACATGTTAATCACAGATGTGCTGTTTGTGACACATTTTCAACTTTGCCATTTCACTTGGCATTTTGGACCACTGAGTGTATTGTGTGCTCCCAGGTATGATAATGTTGTTATCAATTGTAGTTATATAAAATATGTTCAAGCATTAGTTCAGATTTTTTAATGTCACCAGCAGTCATAAGAAGCAGAGGATAAGATTAATACATTTAATCTTTCCTTGTCTTGGGGAAAGCAGCTGGCTATGATCATGGAGGAGTTGTGACCAACAGCAAGCGAGGTGATTCAGAGCATGTGGGGAACAAGAGGTCACTTGGAACCAGAGATATGCATTGGTATGCCTGTGGTGTCTTCTTCCTTTGTGGTCCAGGGCAGTATATTTCTAATGTATGTAACAATCTCCTCTCCCTTCTGTCCTTCAATAGTTTATATCCAGGAGATTTGTGGCCCTTCACAAGAAAGCCACTCTTTCTGGTCATTGATTCTGACAACAGTCATGCTTTCATGAGCCTGCCTAGGTATTTTGGGCAAGGCATTGTTGCACTTCTCTCCCCACTGGAAGTCCCTCCTCCTCTGCGAGGTGAGTGAATGCATCAACAAAGCTGGACTTGAAAGTTCATTGCCATCATCCATCTTTATGTAAAATAATAAAATTTTGTACTATAAATAATGCATGACTTGGTACAGAGTATGAGTGATCTTTACTTTCCAGATCAGCAGCACAGGGGCAGCCTGTTCACTTTGTTTTTGCACAGTCCCCTTTGGGGACTGTGTGTTGTGACAGGTGTATTAGAGGTTCCCTTCTCAGTTTGGGACAGATGCCAAACCCTGTTGGATCGATTCATGGCTGAGGCTTCCAGGCTGATCACACGAGCTCGGAATGTTGGTGAGTCCATCATCTGTCATGCTATCATCTATCATTGAAGCATCCCCTTTAGGCAGATGCAATTGTCTTTTATTTCAGACTCTGCATTCATTCATTTTTTTGGCGATGACTTCCTTCGACTTCTGATACTACGCTATGTTTTCTGCAACATTACCTTCAGACTCCACCGGGCTTTCAAGGTTGGTGGAGCTTCAAGCTTGTCTAGAACTAGGGTTTTTAGAAATCATCAACCTCTGACCTCTTAAATGTTCTATGTATCTGGGAGCCAGCTAAACTGGTACAAGTGGGGTTGTACTTAGTTTGACTCATGCACCTATTGGATTGAGTCTATGGTCATTTAAATTTTACTGTCCATCTAATGCTGGGGTGTACAACCTGGATGTTCTTGAAGGAATTTTGTGTGCTGAATGCAATGTGGCCTGGAAGTTGTGCACCCCTGATCTGTCAAATCATTCACATTCTCTGAAATGAAAATGTGAACGTTTTTGTTTTATGCAGGAGTGAATGAAATGCTCCCCAATCATTTATTATTGGTCATTTCTAATAATTGGTAGTCAGACAGAATATGGAAATCATCTTGGGATATAGGTAACTGAAAAAATATATCATTGTTGCAATAGGAGTTTATGAGGGGGGATAGAAAAGTTAGTGGACTTTAATTTTTTTTTAACTTAGAACACTTGGACCTTAACTTAGAACAGTTTAACAAAATTAATCTGGCACATTGCCCTCAGTTTGTGTTTTTCCAAGCATGACATAAAAAAAATCCCTTTTAAAAGTTCCATCCATGCACACCCATGCATTTGCACCCTATGAAAAAAAATTGATAGTTTTTAACCTTCCAAGGTGTTTATTGTGAAAATAAACACCTCAGAAAGTTAAAAATTATCACATTTTTTGGGGATAGATTCATGTTGAAACTTTTCCCATCATTAACCTGGCTAGCGGTAATCCCGAGTGTGACTCGGGGTAAAAATTCGCTGCCAGGAGCGGTATCCCCGAGTCACACTCGGGGTTAATGCTCCAGGTTCTTGCAGAGCAGCACAGCGGCGTCCCTTGCCTTCTCCTGCGATCGCAGCGAGAGCCTCCTGTGTCCACGTCTGCATCCGGCTTCCGAGTTCCGTTCTCATGCGAGCAGTGTCGCATGGGAGCGGAACTGGGCGGCAAATTCAAAAGTATAAACACTAAAAGACACACACACATATAAAAAGTGATACAATGTAATCTGATTTGATTGCATTGTATCACCTTGGATTTGACACCAGATCTTTCCAGAGTGCTCTGCCCTGCTCTTTTACTGTCATTCCTGCCCATAAATTTTTAAAATTATGGCATCAAAAAAGCGTCACTTTTGCGCAAAACCGCTTTTAGACCAGATGAGCGACAGCAATTTAAAAATAAAAAAATCAAATTTTATCACACCTGGGATGTCTACTAAAATCTTTGTTTGGTCAGGTTTAAGTGAGTAATTCCTAAGAATTACAGGCCTACAACATAAAACAACAAATTTGCATGTAAAAAATTGTACCGCTTTTGGTACAAAATTCCAGACAGAATCATACCGCCAGGGAGGTTAAAGAAAATTTGAATAAAGGACTTGGGTATGCAGGGATAGGTAGGGAAAATGGCAGCAAAATAGCATACAATGTATATGCAATCCTAATTATGCCAATAATTATAGGTGCTCTCAAAGCATGATTCCCTCTTACTGGTTCTTTTGACTGGGACAGTTCATTGGTACAAGTTGTATATTATGACAATATGGAAAGCTCAAAGTTGAAAAAATTTCCTGCTAATGGAACCCAACAAATGGAAAGTAAGATGTGTACTGAGAAAAAATGAAAAACAAACTATTGTTGTGCCTTAGACCTTAATTCAAGCTTCATAGTTGTGAAACAGAGTGAGAAAAAGGAGACAGTGTGTGAGATGGTACTTGAGATGATACTGGTTTACCTAGTGTTTATCCTAATGCAACCCCGATTTCCATTATCTGTGTCAGACAAAACTGAGGCCTAACTAGCATTAGTTATGCATAAATTGCTTGAAAGTACTTTTCCCATTTAAAAAAAACTTGAGATTTTTTTGTTGGATCATCCAGTAGAATGTTATATAGGGCAAACTTCCAGGAATCTTGCCACCTGGATTAGGCATGTGTCAATAGGTGAGGGGAGAGAAGCTTTGACCAGCTGTACTCAAACCACTGTATAAGCACAGGGCTGTGCAAGATTAATATGAGTCAGCCAAGTGTAACTTTGGTCATACTTCATGACCCCTACCACCATTGGTACCTTCTTTCCCTCCTACCCATCCTAATCCCTGTACCTTTTCCTAAGAAGTCATTCAATTTTTTGTTGGGAAGATGTAGAAATAGTAACTTATGTCAGTCTTCATCAGCTTCTAACAGGACTATGGAAGCTTCTGTTATGAGACTTCATAAACTTGCCATTTCCAAAAACTATGAGAAATACTCCATCCAAATTCTTTACTCGGTTGTCCCATGCCATGAATTGCATGTGCAAGTCCATTTCTATCTGCTATTCTATGGTTACTGAATTTCAGGGTCCTCAGTATCAGTCAGTGAGTGTCCCTGAACTACCAGAAGCAGAAGTATTAGAACATCCCAATCTACATAGACTCCTCTGGGAAATGGCCAGCCTCCTTGACATTCGCTCACACTTCTATGATCCAGGAGAGCTGGATTGATGATGAAACATGAGGTACCATGCTAATTATTCCAAATCCCATTTTGAAGAATGCCAAATCCTGATGGTCTTCATCCATAATGAAGACTGATTCCTTTGCAGTCATGATTTACTGCAGGTTTGATCCTATGGTGTCTGTGCTTGTGTTCCTTGTTCTACATTTCTACCCAGAGGTGGGATTCTGTGATAATGTGGAACAATTAGGTTATGGCAATGAGATTGTCATTCGGTGCTTGAGGGGTGGAAAACCTTTCTCGACCTCTGCATACTGAGGGAAAAAAAAAAAATTTTCCTTAACTTCATCAGATGGTGTGTAGCTCTATGCATGGACATTGAGAGCTTCTAGGCATTTCTGACTGGGAGCATGACTGCCCAAGACAGTCTAACAAAATCCCAGTACAGTTTTTAAGTGCAGTTGTTGAACATCTGGCAGTCAGAGAGGTAATTCTACTCACTAGACATCTGGCAGCACTTTAATTATAAATATAATAAGGAAATACATGAAACCTGCTCAGATTTCTCAAGGCTTGCCATTGGGATGTAACTAGTCACTAGTGAGAGACATTATCCCTCTGATTGTTTGACATTCTACTTACTGCAATGTTCTGAAAGTATACCAGTGGGTTAAGAGGACAGAATATACCTATTTATAAATGTACTACACCATATACATGGTTTTGCCTGTTCAATTTCATTTTCCTATTTTAGCTAGTCTGCCTTTTTTAAAAATTGTTTTTCATGATGCAAAATACAATGTGAATTGGTTCCTATAAATATGAATATATTGGACTCAATTGAACCCAAGTAACATTCCAGGGGCATAGTCGCTTGGGAGCTGGGGGGGGACCAAATCTCAGATGCATATATCAACATTTTTTCAATGCTTTCTTTTCAGGTGATTTCAATGCCCTGCCTGATTTGCCCATGCTATGATAACCATAGGACTAAAATTTAAAAAATAGATTACACAATGTAAGCCAATACTGCATTGTTCCATGCTTTCCCTTTCACCCTCTCCCCTCACATCCACTCATGAGCATGCATTCTTGCTTGGCTCTGTGGGTGCATAGTCCTATTACAATGACTAGCTAGGAATCTATTCTATGGCAATTTCAATTGTTTAAATGTGAGACTAACCAGCACCTCTTGACTTCCCATTCGCATTCAGTTTTTACATATTGACAAGAATCCAGAATCTCATACTAACAATCCACTTGCTTTTATATGTTTTCAATTCACTTTTGTCTTTTCCCACTGTCTCTTATCATGGAAAATGAATCATCTTTCTGGACAAACTTTCAGCACATAGATGACAGTGTCTAGTAGGCTTCCCTTGTGGAAGGATCGTATTTGGCCTCTATTTTTGAACTGCAGCATTTCTTCATATATTTAATCACTTGGAAGACAGAAAGTCTCAATCAATGACTGAATTCATTTAAATCAGGTTTTGCCACATACACCCACAATAGCCACTCAAGGCATGCCTTGCCATAAAATTTCAAAATTATATTTCTTTTGTAAAACTATTTCTCTCATGCAACACATTCCCCTTGGGGATAAGTGAATTTCAGTAAGGCAGAGCTACAATAGCTTTTTCACCAAATCATCTCTCAGCATTTGCTGCTACAAAATGCAAAAAAAATGGATCACAGACTGTCTAAAAGCAGATTACAATAGTAGTGTCCCAGGTGGAGGTATGTGCAGCCTACTTGTCCTTACAAAGTCACTTTTAATTTATACTCTGTATTTGACCCTGAAATTCTGCCTTTTGGTAGCCTGTTACTATGACCTTTAGCAGTAATATCCAGTCCATATCTTTTGCCTTTTACCATTTATACGATCCATCTGGTTTATATTTTTGTCTTATCAATCCATTATAAGGAATTACTAAATATCTGTAGTCCATATACATGTTTTGATATGCTCACTACTCCTCTCCCCATTTGTCAGATTTGTTGTCCTGCCCCTCCCCCATCTGATAAGCATCCTATGTTTAAAAATCCTTACTGCATCAATGGCCTGACTGCCCCCTTCCCTTTCCCTCTGAAATCAACAATCATGGTTATGCCCCTGATTCTTTCTGGATTGGAATCTTGAAACTAACCTGAATGGATTTCATGATTTTTTTATCTTGTCATCCTAAGCATTTCATTCCACAACTGCAGATATGCAAACCTTTCCTGAAATGGGCCTATTTTTTATTATTTCTTAGGAACTCCATCATGATATGAAACCTTTAGAGAGGACTGTAATTTTTCATCAAGCTTGTCCTGGTATCCTCCAGGGTGTGAACCAAAGGCTATGCTATCCTGAATCCTACACTTTCTGGTTTGAGATTATGGGAGGACCAAGAAATTAATCAATATCAAGGCAGCTTTCCACAAGAGGATTTACTAACTTATATCATTGATTCTAATGTCAGGACTCAGTTCAGGTCCTTCATGTTAGCTTTGCTTCCTCCCTTCAGTCCATGCATGAGAATGACCTTTGTGCCCATTCATATTCATCTTGATATCTTTATATTCTGTTCATGTCTTGTTGCTGAAATTATTGTTCTTGCCTTCCTCAATTTTTTACGTTTTTTTTTCAAGTTCAAAAGAATATTTTTCTTTTTTTAAATACATTTTTAGCAGTGGTAGCAACCCAACTCCTTACTGTAATTTGGGATTTTAAGTTTTTGTTACAGTTGGCCCCTGCATTCAGTTATTGTTGAAATGGTTCAACAGTTGCCAACTGTCCAACTGAATGCAGGGGATGAACGAACAGTTACTGTTCGTAACATCCATAATTTTAACTCTTTTGCTCAAGAGGGCTATCTAGTCTCCATCTTGACTCTTAACAATTCCCCAAGTCAGTCTTGATGTACATCATATCCCATTCAAATGATCCTGAAACCATTTGTGTGGCTGGAGAGGGTAAACTACTTTGGTGTAGCACAAGTTTTTTTTTCTCAATTATTGGATCTGTTTGTGGTAGTACAAAAATATATTCTGTTGTTCCCTATTAACCACAGTGGAAACATGTGGAACTCCTACATGACCTAATAATATTTTTGGTTCCTCCCTTGTGATCAGTCGTGCATGTAGTCATGTTTTTTTGTGAATGTCATGAAAGCTGGAAGACCACTGTGATTGTTATTATTCTGCACCACCTTCCATGTTCTTTCATCCCTGCCTTTCCAGCACATACTCTGGATATTATAGCTGTACTGATCTGTCCATAATTTATTCTTCTTGAAATAAACTCTGTTATTGGAGCTCCTCAGACCCAACTGATTTTCTCTCGACTTCATGAGCTGAAACCGCGAAGTTCTTGCTGTGGCATGAATAAGATCGGGGTCGCTTTTGCGCTTTAAAGCGCTTTAACGAAGTCAACATGGAAACGAAGTGATGGAGAACGAGCGGCGGATGCGAACAGAAGTCAGCTCATACTGGTTGTAAGTCGGCATCTTGGTGTCCGAAGGTCCGAACCAGGAAGCATCTGACTCTTGAACGCCGTGGGAATCCGCACCTCATCGTCCTAAAGTTCTCTCAATGACAGAAGCGCCAGTTTTGACTATGATTTTGTGATGCGTATCCGATTTAAAAAAAATAGTCGTGTCTGTATTGCGAAAATATTGAATATTCTTGCGAACAACAGAAAACCACATATTTACCCTTTCTGTTCCAACAATCCTGTTGTCATGAACAGGTAAGGATTAGCATCTATCTTCATCTCAGCGTGAAAAGCAAAAATTTTTTATAGTAATAAAAATTAGGACTGTCAAAATGAGTTTGGAGTTACCCAAAACCAGTAATAAGTGAGCCTAGCCGTGGAAATTTTCAAAATTAGGTCTAAAGTAATCCCAGTTCCTTGAGTGTGAGAACGGCGCGTCTGGGAACTTGGTTGCATGGGCTCCTCAGTCTCTTGCGCCTTATCTTGCCGTTACACGTGCTGGAATGGGCACATCAGCACGACAGTTTCCGCTTGGACATCGTGTCGCACGCGGCGAGGAGTGAGACGTACGAGGGCTGATAGAGAAGTTCCCGGACTGATTCTGTAAATAAATTTATTTATTCTTTGACTTACAGGTGTCCCATCCCATGAGGATATTTAATTGGGTTTCGTAGTGCTTGGCCAGAGATTCTCTCTTGGTTATTGGCTCTCTTTATTTTTCAAAATTTTCTTTTGCTGCTCTTCCAACTTCTGATGAAAATGAGCGAGAATTTAATGAAACAAAAAGGAAATTCGGAACATCGTTAAATTTCGCGCAGAAGCGTCAAAATGCTCCGGGATGCTCTTTTAAATTTTGAGTCGAAGAAACGAGCGAAAGAAGGCAAACCCAAAAACCCAAGTTAATACGGCAAAAAATGTTTAAATGCTGCCATAAGAGATGCTCAATATCTCAGGAACTTTTCAGATCGTCACTTTTCGATCTCCCTGAAAGATTTCCAGCAATCTTTCACAAGTAACAGTATGGAACATAGTTTTGTGGCCCATTCTGCTCTTATTTTGAGTCTGCTCTGAGTTTCCAATCAGGTTTCAACAAATCCCTGTCTCCTTTTCACCAGGGCTTCGAAAGTCACTTGCAGAAGGGTGGAAATAAAGGAAGAAGAAAAAAAACAAACAAACAAACCTGAAAGTCACTTTTTTTTTCCTTACTCTCTCCGGAGATCAAATGCCCACAATCTCCTGAGAACTGCACATCAGGAAGTTAATACTCCAATCCGGGAACTTTTTCATCGCCCTCGAACCTTAGATCTGAGAGCAGTTCAGCTATCAAATACAATTACTCTCTTGTTCTTTTCTAATGCATATATTTTCACATATATTAAGCTTGAGTCGTTCCCGTGAATTTCAGCCCATGGTAAAATACAGTGAAAACTCGTTAACTCGAACTTTTAGGGACCGGGCAAATCGTTTCGAGTTATCCGAAGTTCGAGTTATCAGGAATCGCCCCCCCCC